CGTGGGATGGCAGTAAGACGATATGGATCCGTTCTTATCCATGGGTAAAGATAAACGCAACTCACATTGGTTTCTCATACAGCATCTCTGTAAACTACGTGTATTCACTGAATTTCACTCTCTGCCTTTAACGGCTCGTTGTAGCTCCAATAGCTCCAGCCCCACCCTCCCTGTGAGCACAGTGTGCTCTGATTGGTCGGGACACGTAACATGAACGTGCTGGGCGGCGCGGTCCCGTGGGTTAGATGCGCGTTCATAATGCAGAGGGAAATAACTCTCAGAATAACGTTATTAGCACATTTTTACAACTTGAGGAACGAATGTTTTTAATAAGGGCTATACAAGTGTTCATACTGGGTAGTTTATTTAGTTTAAAAAAAATTATCCAACGAGTTACAGACCACTCTTTCCCCATGTAAGTCAATGGGAAAAAGTGTTTCCGGGCCTGGCAACCAAACGGAAGTGTAGTACCGCCGTTTGGCCAGCACGAATATTTTCATCTGAGTCCGGCGCACTTCCTGGGGGCTTGATGTGAACGCGCACCTAACTAGATAGGAAACGGCTGGCTTGAGCGATCCACTTGATAACCAGCGTCGTAGTACAGTTTAGCGAGAGCGCGTATGTTTTGGATTAGGCCAACCGGCTAACTCAAACATATCCAGGTTAGGTTGAACCAGCTTCGTAGTATAGGCCCCTGTTGTTGTTGTTGTTGTTGTTGTTGTTGTTGTTGTTGTTGTTGTTGTTGTTGTTGTTGTTGTTGTTGTTGTTGTTGTTGTTGTTGTTGTTGTTGTTGTTGTTGTTGTTGTCACTGTGAGCATGTTAGCATGCTGGTGTTGGAGCAACACAGTGGCTGTATTCTTTCTGTGACCTGTGTCCTGCTTTATAGACTTACCAAAGAGGTGGGAGCTCTCTGAGATGGAGAATTCATCGCTGGGTGGGATTTGCAGCGGTCCCACCACATTAAAGTCGAGGCCCACCCACTCATTCATTCAAGATGGTCGTCGGGCACCAGCAGAGTTTGGACTTTGCGGAACAGAGCCTCTGGTTTATTCTGTAACAAGCATACAAATAGTGTGATTTGTGATCCATGGTGACGATTTTCTTGACACTCTTATGGGTCTGCAGGATCAGCCTGGGAGTCTCTACATCACCACAGCTGACAAGTATTGTCTCCCACACAGGGATGAGATGTTCAGTAGCCTACATGGGGTTGGGGGATGAAAGTCAACCCATAATAAGGACCCCCTAAGAGCCAGTCAGTCTTTTCTTTCTGCATCCTGTCAGTGCAGTCATTTTATTTCACATTCAAGTACACATTTGCCAGGGGCTCGTTTGACATGATGTAGGCTATAACTAGATATGTGTTATTTTATCTTTCTAAAATAAATTACTAAAATATTACAGACAAGCCTACAGTTTTGAGATAGAGGCTCAGTTAACCAAAGGGTAAAAGCTGATTTGTAACTTGAATGTATCTTTTGAATAACAGACATGTTTTTAAACGTATCCGTGGCCTTTCTGGTGTCAAGGCCGCTACATGTGAAACATTACTTTCATGGACTTCATCTGCCACTGATTTTTTTTAATTTACTCAGTGTAATTTCCCCTGAGATCCAAGACCAACCCACAGTGATTCAGAAACCCCCGGACCTCTTAACAACCCCACAAAACAGCCAAACCTCACACATAATGGCACGTCGCGGACTCATAAAAAAATCACCTGCTCACCGGTGAACTTGAAATATGTTCAGATTCCATTTCACATTTCTTACCTTGCGCTGGTCCTTGGATATTGATGTTCTGCCTGCTAATGTTCCTCTTTTTCAGCTTTGTTTCTGATTTCCACGCCGAGAGCTACAGCTCAATCAATGTTTGCTAATGAACATTACGCTGCTTGTGTCTGGACCCCAGTGAGAGCATGTGTGACCAGTTGAGGTCAGGGAGAAATGCATGGTGGTTATTAATTAAACTGTCCATTCCTGTCCATGTCACCCCCCAGCCCCCTCCCACAAACACAAACTCTCCCCCCCCAAAAAAAACCTCTTTATCTCACTAACACAAGAGGGTGTGTGTGTGTGTGTGTGTGTGTGTGTGTGTGTGTGTGTGTGTGTGTGTGTGTGATTTCTGGAATCCCACACACACACACACACACACACACACACACGGAACATACATCCAGTCATTAGCAACCAACTGGTGTTAGTGCGAGCAGAAGCGCTGCTATCAGTCCAAATACTTTTTTGAAAAATAAACAGAGCATCACGATGTCTCTTCCTTTTCACTGAAACAGTAACACTTCGCTGAAAGTTTTATATTATTATTTAGAAGCACAGAAATGAATTATATCAATCATTGCTGACTGTCCGTGACCTAATCAAAGTTATTGTATCATGTCACTGCTAGTTGCAATACCAGTCTGCACAACAATTGTCATATAATGGCACTGTCATATGGGCCCTTTGTCTTTGTGTAGTCTTAAGATTTACCCAGGCTCACAGTAAATCTAAATCTTCTTCTCTATACAATCCTTAATTTGTCCAAAATACAATAGTTTAATCATTGATGGGTTGTTGCTCCATCCAAAGAGGCCCTTCTGAGTCAACAGACTGAGAAATAAACAGAACCTTTGCTATTGGCTGTATGTGGACTATCTGGTCTGTGTTTGAGAGCATGCGGGAATGAGCTGGCAGCGATGACTTCGACCCACTCAACTTAACTGAGCATGTCTAAAAGTTATATATTGTCCAATAAACCTGCAGGTGGGTCTTCAGGTTCTTCTCCAATGTGTTGTAGTTTAAAAAAAAAATCATATAACACAATGATTTAGATTTCAATGTAATAATAGGTTGACTGTTCCATGGAATAGCAAACTGTATTCACCTTAAAGTGCTTACGTATATACGCTATACACCCATATACTCAATTAAACTCCTCCTGCTTTGTAACTTATTCACATTTCTCTAATCCTTACTTGTCATTTCTGTCAATTTGATATTATAAGTGATGACTTTTTCTCAGTGGATATTATTGTGGCTTTAACAACCTGTTCCTCCATTCCTGCCTGCTGACATCATAGGCTATCCCTTTGTATCAGACATAATTATATCTGGATATTCCTTCAATCATTCTCTTTTAGTTGATATCACGTCACCAATCCTTTTTTTTTAACACTGGTATCTATTGTTTTATTACGTGTGCTTCCTAATATTATCCCTAAAAGAGATATTCTAAAAGAGAATATGTCCTACTTTAAATGCCTCGGATCATATGATGTAAGCACATATTGGGTGTTGCCTTTCACCTTGGTTTTTATTAGTCATTACAAACAGACCCTTTTGCGAGTTTTGATAGATACAAAAACAGAAACACACCCTTTAAAGTGACATTTGCAGCCTCATCTTCTGTGAAGAAAGCCAGCAACAAAGTGTGTAATCTTGAAGCTTTTCATCAACATGTTCAGTCAATATATTTTGTATTGATCAATAAGTCCACGTCAATACATTTTTATAAATGTATATTTCGTTATACTGACTCCCTCTAACTGTCATCTTTTAGTTTAGTCAAAGCAAGACTTAAAACGGGTGACGAATATCCTGTCCAGTAATTGTTTTTTTGGTGGTCAAAATGAAACAGGCAAGAGAGATAAGACAGAGGATGTTTACCACAGCGTGATGGGAAACAGAGCAGTCTTTGGAATATTTAAAAATGTCTAATATGAGTGCACTAACATAAACAGGCACTATTAAGGACAGCCAAATGTATCAAGTAGCAACAGAAGATAACGAGAATCTGTATCGTATAAAGGACACATTGTATCATGGATAAAGCTTTTTGAAAATAATGTACAATGTATAGAAAATGTAGAAAATTAATATATATGGTTACTTAGAAAGTGCAGACCTCTGCCAAAGACAATCTGTTTTATAATTGTGTGTGTGATAGAGATTATGCAACGTGTTTAGTGTTTGTTGATGGTTATGTACCTGCCTGGACTACAGATGGAAAGGAGCAATTAGCTCAAATCTTTTCTTAAATGAATGTGTTGTAATGCATGGTCCTTGTTCAAATAAATACATACATTTAATTAAATTAAAGCCAAATGTCCTATCTCGGTTTTTTAACGAAAGATGTATCTATTAGCCTCATGATTCAGAACCTCTCTGAAATGTAATGGGTTCTTCCTCAGCCCCTGCTAGACCCTTCAACCAAGTTTAATGAAAGCAGGGCCCATATTTGTTCCATAATTCTGCTGACAAACAGAAAACCAAAAGTAACATTACCCCCTTGGCCGAGATAAAAATGAGCTTGAGAGATGGAAACACATCTTAAAAAGCTGAATAATAGAGGGAGAAGGCACTGCTTGCCCTCAGCTTTTAAATGGCTTCTTTCTTTCTTCTATTCTTTTAAACAAGAATGTCTAGATCAGTCCAACAAATGACCCAGACCCAAATATCTCAACAGATATTAGATGGATTGCGATGACATTCACGGTCCCCAGAGGGTGGAGCTTTCTGACTTTTGTGATCCTCTGGCTTTGCCTCTGATTTTGTGATCTCTAATTTGTCATCTTGCAGCACCATCACTTTAAAGTTATTTCCCAGTCTCCTAAGATTTGTCTGTTTATTGCTGATTATTGTTAGCATGCTAACATGTTCATCTAAGATGGTGAACATGGCAAATATAATACTTGCTAAACATCAACATGTAAGAAGTGTCATTGTGATCATATTGCCATGCATAGCATTTAACCCGCATTAAATACAACCCCTGGAGCTGCAGCCGTAGACTATCAATGTGGATTTTGATTACCCACAGTTTGCAATTTGATGATTCATTTCTTTGAAAACACAAAGTAATGTAAATGTTCAATAACCACATAAAAGGTACTGTGAATAACCTTCATAAGATTGTATGTCTCTAAACAATCTTAATACAGAATACAAATGTAGTTTACTACATCTCCAGTGAGTTCAAGTAAAGTGCAAATCAAATCAATGCTCTTTCAAACAATAAGATAATAATTTACTGTACAAAATCAATTTTCTTTTCTATAACAGTAAAGACAAATAGTAAGAGTAACTTCCCCATACTCTAATGGGTTAAACATGACACTACATTCTTTTTTAGAAACAAACTGGGTCATCATGTATCAAATATTGAGAAATTGCAATAAAGACAACCACCAGGAGAATAAATAGTTACACTAAATGCGAGTAGCGTCAGCACTTAACTTGCACTCCTTTATGTCCTATTCTGAGCTCATAGCACTTTAAATCATGAAGCTGACATTATGCTGGAAGAAGTGTGATACAAACAGATGTCGAACTAGGACCTGCACAGACTAGGAGAGCGAACTAAGCAATGACAAAGTGCAATCATTCAGCAACAGCAAATACATACAAGCAAAAAAACATTAACACTGCTGTCAAGCTGAGTATTACATTCCAGAAGCACAGCTCTTTTTACGGTGCATAGCTGACACAAAACATTTCAAAAACCGTCAGGTGGCTCAAAGTAAGTCACATAAAGTTTAGTCTAGTTTGCTTTCACAGATGGAGTACGATCAACGCAGGCTGCAGGGATGTCAGGTTTCAAGGTTGATATGCAAGTCAGATGTTCTTTTATAACAGCACTAGTTAGTCTGAGGTTACTTTCTATTGTACTGAGCACACTAGTCTACAGTATATGCCGGTGGAGATTACTAGTATTGTCCCAATTTTATCTATTTAAAAATGATGCTTGATTTTAGATGTTTTCCTTTTTTATGTTGTGTTTTTAATATATGATTTTTAACAATGCAGTACATCACAGTTAAACTGTAGAATATTGACCAAAAGAAAAATCATCTTGCGGTACAAATGGAGCTGCTGCTGTCACTTTGCCGATGTTTCTGACATTTCCACGGGTGTGAAATGAAACTTTCAGCCTTGACCAGTCTCAAGTGTTTAGCCCCCCCCCACAGGGCATCTCACTGGTACCGATCCTGATAGTCGCCATTCCCACAATGTTCCTCCTCCTCTTGCATGGTCACACCTCTCTTCTTTTTCAAGCCCTGTTTTCCACCAGATGAATTGTCTGTGGTCCCATAACTCTTTTTTGGAGCAATTGCATCCTCCATGTTGAGCTCGGATTCTTCAGCTAGCTCGTCCTCATCAATAATGCCACGTTTATCCTCACTGATGTTCTCAGGGTTGGCCCATTCCTGCAGCTCTCCCGAAGCAAAGATAGCGTAGAAAATGACCCCTGTGTAATGCACCATGGACGCAATAATAAAGATGTGCTGCCACTCCAGACGAGTCTGTGGGGGGATGAATAGAGTCAATGACTTTCCTCTCTAAGACAGATCTATTGATGATGTACCACTGAGGAAACACTGTTAATGCACTGCCCTACTTACGGTATGGAATTGGAAAAACTACAACTTCAATGTGTGTAGTACATTTTAGAGGGCTATAAATTATTAACAACAAACGCTGATATATGCAAGAATAAAACATTGGGTTTGTGTTTGATGAAAAAACAAAGCTGATATTATTTTATACATGAGGGGAAAAATTCAGTGAAGGACTCTGTTTCTGAGTTTTCTACTCTCATTAAAAATTAAATAGATTTCAACATAATATGAGATGAAAGGATAAAGTATTAACCTTAATTTACAGTCAAGATAAGAGCAAAATATCTTAGATGAATTGCAACTAATTGATGTACTTCTGTTAACATATTTGCAAAACAGTTACTGTTACAAATCAACTTGTACCTTGTTTTTAGTCAGGGCTCCAACGATAATAGGACACACCATGCCAGATAGTGTTCCCACCCCGTTAGAAATGCCCATCAGGATGCTGGCGTAGCGAGGAGCAATATCCAAGTGATTGACATTAAAACCTGAAAACAACAAACACAAGAACATTTGATTAAGAAAAGAGTGAGCAAATGTCATCATAAATTCTCCAAAAGTCAATGTGGTTTGTAGATCCACATGCACATGATGTAGATTTGTTGGTTGCCCTGACAACAATCTATAAAATATTCAGGGGAAGTGCCTGCGTTAAGGCTAGGCAGGCTGTATGACACCCAAAGGCATTTCAAGTTTCTCGTAATCCGAAGGACAGAGAACGAAGAGAAAAAAGCAACAAAATGAAAACTAGGCAACATCATGTTTATTTGAGGGTTTTAAACTGACCAAAAATGCAAAGGAAAGCCCTTCTGTTTTCCCCTTAATATATAGCAAAACTAAAAGTATGTCACTTGAGGTTGAAGACAAATGTTTCTTTGGTGCAGACGTGGTAATACCTGAGATGGCGAATCCACTGAACCCTACAGCAAGAACTAGGAAGGAGATGGCGACTCCGCGTGTGTGAGAACACCCCACTACCAACAGAAAAGTAGCCTCCATACCAAATCCTGATACAGGACCAGAGAAATGTGTGTCATTAGATCGTTTATTGAAAAAAAAGCATAAACATGTTTATATGGACTCCTTCAATCTGAGAGATTTTTCAAATAATTTTCCTGCACAATACCTTAATCATTCTAACAGGACTCCTTAACAATGTACAGAAAACGCTCAGCAAAAGACAAAACTAACACAAAAAGGCTTAATCTTTTAAAATCTGTATTGATAAAAACAGAAGCAGAATGCATTTACTTAAGATAAAAAAACATCTGCTCTGTTTTCTGAATTAACATGTTCTCAAGAAAAAAAAGACACATACACACTCTTCAGTAGCCTCAAACCCATAGGTTGCTTAACAGTCATATTACCATGCTTCTATGCAATCGAGCTCTCAAGTAAATACAATAAAAAAGTATTGGGATTTTGAGGTACCTTTTTTGATACAGAAACCATTAAGCTAATTGCTTAAAGCAAATGCATTGTACACTTCCATAGATATGTTTCACATAAGGATAAAAAAGGACAAAACGTATTGCTTTTAGTTTACCAAGACGTACCTCCACAGTTCATGATTTTCCTCACATTTGTGGTAGACATGATATTGTTAGTGCGTAAATAGTCAGCCAGCTGTCCTCCGATAGGAACTACAATAGTCATCACCATGTGGGGCACAGCAGACAGGATCCCTACCTGTAGGGAGATCATACACACAGTAAGCTAATGTCTAAGTCATTCCCATGATTATTGACCTTTGTGTATGATCTTTGTCATTGTAAACTGAACAGCTATAGTGTAACTGCAACGCCAACCTTGCTGATGGGGAAGCCAAAGACTTCCTCAAAATACGCCGGCTGGCTGATGAGGAGCAGGTAGAAGGTCCAGCTGCGGCAGAAGTTGGCCACGATGATGGCATAGACAGGCATGGAGGTAAAGAAACGACGCCACGGTGTCTTGAATTTCTGCGTTTAGGAGACAGAAGTCAGTGTTTGCCACAGAGGTTGGATAAAGTCATCGCTTTGCATGCCACATGTACAGTTCGTCTTAAATATTTCAGGTCTCGAGTCACCAAATCCTAAACAATACGTTTTAAGTCCTAATAACTCCTTTCTATGGAACCGTGTTTTCCAACTGCAACGTTAGTTCTTCATGGTTCTTTCCTGCAACTTGATTGGTTGCTGTCAGATTGGTTCAAACAAAGAGGATCTTGGGACATGTCGACTTAGCGTTTGTGAATTTAATAAACAAGGGCAAATCATTTGGTTTGTGGCATATATTTTGGGTAACGTATGATGTCATTTTTGGGCTTGGAAGGCTTAGAAATATCTTTTAGTTTAGTCAAGAGTCATGTTGTTAAAGTCAAGAAGATAATTTAATTTTTTTTGGAAAAGTACAATTTTTTCCAATTTGTGACCAGAGACTGACTTGAGTCCAAGTCATGTTACTTGAGTCTACAAGTCTTTTATGTATACTGTGTGTGTTTGTGTTTGTGACCCCCTGAAACTGGCAGCATGTTACCCATACACACCTCAGTCTTACTCAGTTGGCGCATTGTTTCACCGATGGTGGTCTCGATGTACGTCCTCTCCTCATCTGTGATGGTTGGATGTTCAGCAGGACTTCCATATGCCAGAAGCAGCCACACGATATACCATATCATCCCAAAAACACCTTGAATAAGAACATTATTACAAACATTTTGTATGCATACCTTGTACATATATAATTAGAGTTGTTATATTCTTAGTGAAGTCTTTGTAATGGGCCGGACAGCATAATTAAAACAAGCCCAGCCCTTCTCTGGACCACAAGAATTTTCATTATTTAAATGAAAGGTATGAGTCACAGAGCCCTGACAGGAAAATGCTAATTTACATTAATAAATCACGAGATGATATCACAGCAGAACCAGAGTAGGTTTTTATTAAAACACAGTTGGCAAAGTACGTCAGTGTTAATCCTTTTAATCAAACTCTAAAGTGATTCAGATAACGCTTAGTGCAAAGCATACAAAGTACATCTGACACAGCAGCATGGCAATATGAAGACCAATTTGTAAAGTCACCAAACAGACACCTAGTGTATATAATGACTAAACACCAGACTATATCATTTGTGTTTGTGTGTGTAATCTATTTGTAAAGATAAAATCAAACAAAAGTGTTTTTAACCTCAGTTCTAAAATATCTGCAAAACAAAAAGTGACCCTTGTACAGCTTTAAGAAAAAGGTTTCACGGAAATACTGTTTAATATTAGCTTTCTTGCTAAAGGTTAAGTAAGAAGACCAACTGATATGTATTGAAGCAACTGCAAACGTCCAGTTAGCTTAGCTTCATTTAGCACAGCGACTGTAACTAGAGAATGCAATTCCTGAAGAAATTGCTAGTGGGAATGCTCTATGCTGAAAAGCTGACGCTGAATTGCTATGCTGAAATGTAATGTGTAAGAAGAAAGTGATTACATGAACACTGGGGGCTTGAATGTGTGATAAGAGAAGAAAAGAAAGTAAAAAGGCTTGAAAAAGCAGCAGAATATTTGAACTGCAAACTTTTGAACTAACTTGATGGCGAATGATCTGTCGCCATGCCAACAGCATTTGATGATGACACCCCATAATACGCTTAGATGGCTGCATCGTTACCAAACCTGTGAAGTTTTGGGCCGTTGGGAGCATTTTCAAAACACGTGTTTCATGGCAAGCATTGTGTTGCCATGGCAACGGTATTTGAAGAAATCTCAAAACTGTCCCGTAGATGTCATCATGGCTGGACTGTTAGCACACATGTGAAGTTTTAGCACTTTTTGACAATTTTCATAGGAGTTATAGCAACATCGCGTTTTCAACGGCATATGATGACACCCCATAATTGACGTAGAGCTGTTGAGGGCTGGACCATTAACCATTGTCTGAAGTCTGGTGCTGTTTTGACCCTTTTCATAGGCGTTACGACAACATCGTGTTTTTTTGGCGAGGGATACGTTTCCATGGAAACAGCCTATGGTGAGATCTCAGATTTGGCGTAGAGCTGTTGAGGCATGGAGCGGTGATATACAAGCAAAGTTTGGGGACGATCGGACCGTGTCCATTGGAGTTACAGCGACATCGTGTTTCATGGCGAGGGATGCGTTTCCATGGAAACGGCATATGATGACACCCCATAATTGACGTAGAGCTGTTGAGGGCATGACCATTAACCATTATCGGAAGTCTGCTGCTGTTTTATGGCGAGGGATGCGTTGCCATAGTAACACCACATTACGTAACATCAGATTTGATGTAGAGCTATGTTGACCATTATCTGAAGTCGGCTGCTCTGAACATGTCAGTTGGAGTTATGACATCATCGTGTTCCATGACACAGGTGTTTATATTTGAGCTAACGACGTGTCCAGAGATCAAAGGTTTCCATGGTGATTAATCAGTGAGAGGAGAGCGTTTGCATTGTTCTGAATGAGAGATAAACCTCTTACATGTGAACGTTTTGTTGAAGAACCGTAACAGATATCAGTGAAATTTCAACGTGTGAAGCATCTCAAGAACTCTGAGCATCTGAAGTGTGCTTTTTGTGTACTTTCGGGTTCATAATGTGGACTTTTTTGCAGATTAACTAAAGGTGTGCGGCTGCTGCCGTGAGGAAAGAGCAGCCTGAATTTACAATGGGCTTTAATGGAGAAATGTTGAACGTTTTTGTCACTTCATGCCCCCAATTATTTTGCTTAATTCTTTTTTATTTTTCAAGGCAAATTTCAAGCTGTCCTCCACTCTAGCGGTGACATCACGCACTCTAAAATCTGATGAAGGCCTCTTTACCAAGGTCTGAACAATGTTTAATATTTCTAAAAGTATGAATCAGATTTAAAAGTTGTGTTACACGAATAATGTCAGAAAGATGTGTAACATTTTAAAGTTGGAATGAGGTTTATGAGTGACAGTATGAAGAAACAGTTAGCAGTTGAAGTCGCATGAAGATTTTTCAAGTCTGAAGAGTTTCTCCATTGACTTCCATGTTAAACATTGGATGAATTATGGGATGTATCTCTGGAATTATGAAAGTTATGAATGAGAAAAGTAATAGCAATTGATTCCAGACCGAGCTGAACGTTTTGATGTTTGATCGGAGTTTCTGCGATGTGGAATGTGGGAGAAGAAGAGGCGCAAAATAACCCGGCGGAATAATAAAGAATTTGTGCGTAGCATAACAAGTAGTTGGAATGCTGTATCAGCATTCCCACTAAATTAGGAGAAAATAGCTAGACAGGTTCTTTCCAAGGGTAAATACATTCTCTTACAAATAGGTTGACTAAATGCATTTATATCTAAAATATATACAAAAGTGTAAAAGCGTTAATTTACATTAGGTTATGGGATTTTGTTATGGCCGGGTAAGTCACTTCCTTGAGTCTCTGCTGGTTGCCTGGCATATTTATCCTGGCTAACTGTTTCCCCCTGTTTCCAGTCTTTATGCTAAGCTAAGCTAACTGGCGCTGGCTGCTGCTACATTTAGCGTACAGACGCGATAAAGCTATTTATCTTCCCATCAAACACATGTTGTACTTTTGCACTCTTTAGTACTTTAGTACTCTTTCTATTCCGGTGCGCATAACTCCTACTCAAGGATAGATTACATAATGATGTCTTCAAATTTGATCCACAATGTTATTGAGATCAACATGCATAGTATATTATTAAGTGATCATGCTGCGGTATCTGTCACATTTTTCCCTCCAACCAACCCTTGCAAATCCAGACAGTGGCGACTTAATACATCTCTACTCAAAAATGAAAAATGCACACTGCTCATTAAATTCCACATTTTAGATTTCTTTGAGATCAATCTAAATTGTGTACCAAGCGTCACCACTGTCTGGGAGGCTTTTAAAGCAACATGCAGGGGCTGGTTAATTAGTTTCTCCTCGGCAGAGAATAAAAAGCGCAGAGAGGTGAAATCTCAATTAAACTTTAAACTCAAGACTCTAGAAGAACAGCATATGCTAGACCCATCCAATTTAGATCTAAGGAACTCACTTCTCACCGCTAGGACTAATTAGCAGAAACTTCTACATGAGGAGACAGCTTTTGCTCTTTCTCGTTTACGAAGAACATACTTTGAATCCGGAGACAAAGCAGGGAAAACGTTAGCTCATAGATTAAAACAAATAGAAAACAGACAGATTATTCCAGCGATCAGAGATGAGCATGACAGGCTACAGTGTGATGCAGCCACAATCAATGAATCTTTCAAGAATTATTATTCTAAATGATATAGCACAAAAAATAACTTGAATGAAGAAGCCTTAGGGTGCGTTCACACCTGCCTTGTATAGTCCGGTTGAATCGAACCCTGGTGCGTTTAGCCGCTTGGTGCGGTTCATTTGGGTCGGTGTGAACACAATCCGAGACCTCTTAAGTGAACTAAACAACCGGGTTGCATTCCAATAGTCCATTTAGCTTAGGAACCTTCCTAACGGAGTGAAATGACCCGGAAGTACGTCACTGGCAGCCATGATAAGTGCCGTTCCAATTCTCCAAATGAAAGGAAAGGAGGTTTCAAACTTCCTTTATAACCTCCTTTAGCTTAGGAACCACTGGACCTCCCTAACCGAAAGGAGAGGAGAAAATGCTTCCCCACAATGCATTGCAGCCGCAGCATTTTCCATCACAACAGTCGGCCGTTCACGGAAACAACCAATTATGACCGAAAGATTATATCATGAAAGTTACGGTGCTTATTAAGCATTTTAAAACGTATGTGGTAAGTTGCCAAAGTGCTTTTTTCTGAACGTTCATCAGTATTATAATCAAAAAGAGAAATATGAACGTTAGTTTTTACTGAAATGATCAAATAAAGTCAACATCTCACAGTCTTTACTGAGCTGTGTGGGGGTTGTTCAACTTTTAAAATATGTTTGAATGGTGATATACACAGTGATAGATGTTAAGGACTAACGTTTATAATAAATACATTTGTATTGATTTTAAGATATTTTCATAATTCATACAATCATACGTATTGGGATCATTTGTATTAATGTGGACCGGAGGGAGAGGGTGACGAGCATAAGTTTCACCTTTCCTTTTTTATTTCAATTCCAACTTTGGTCATGAAGAATATGTTTCTCTGTTGTCCACGTTCATAAAGCATAAAGCAACAGCATCAGAGCACGGTGCAGAGTCTCTAGATGAGTTTACAGTAGTCCCTCGTTCTTATTAAACATCCATGTTGTAGTCCGCTGTATAGAAAACTGTGGTTTCCATAGTTTCCCCACAGCAGCAGACGCACATTCATGACGTCCGCTGGCGCATCATAAACACGGCGGATAGTGAAAGTGCATTCGGATTCTCTAAAGTACCGCAGTCTCTTCTCCTAAGTCCTTTTGAATTCTCTTAACCACTATCCCTTAACCCCGTGACGTTTCACTCAGAGGTCAAGGAATAGGAGATAGGGTTAGAATTTAGGAGCTGATTTTTGGATTATCGGAACGCAACCCCGGACTCTGGTCCGCTAAAATAGGTGGTCTCGGAGCGCTTGCTTGCGAACTCTGGAGCGGTTCATTGCTGGTGCGAACGCAGTCCGCACCAAAACATAGGAAGCGTAGTATTTACGTGTCACAAGAACGCGGATATCTTCAAAAATCTTTAGCGAAATAGTCTTTCAAGACATCCGCGGTTGTTTAGTTAAAGAGTGAAGCAGAATGAAGTGTTGAACAGTGTCGTGTAAAGTAAAAATTCTCCGTCAGCTACATAAAAGTAAGAACACCTGTCGTCGGTGAAACGCCCCTCCTTACTGCAGAACGTCTCTCATTATATGTGTTATAAATGTTTTTTAACGGACGTTGTCTGATTATATAATCATATGCGCGGGCCGCTAGTGTCTGTTGATCTCCAGATTAACAGCAGCATGAGAATAACCTGCCGAAAGAGCCGATGCTCCATGGCGGAGGCTCCGGTAGAAATTGCCGGGATTTGCGCTTTTACCCCCTTAACGTCTGACCAATGGTTGAACTGCATTTCCGTGCACATGACTTGTGTTTAAAGTTTATAGTGTGGTGACCACCTATTTACCACCTATCAAACTTGGAACTACAGTTGCGGTTATTGTTCCCACACGGACATGTTATGGGTTACCTATAAATAGTGTGTGCCCTCTTGGCTCTCTCTCTTGTCGACCCGGGCTGCGACCTGACAACATGTCCTTTGCAGCTTGTGAATAAATTACTATTCTTGCACCTTCCTTGCACCGCCTCTGACTCCATATCTCTCGGCACTACAATAGTCCGTTTGAGTTTTGCCAGTGTGAACGCAAACCGAACCTTCTGAAAAATGAAACAATTTAACAAACTGTGGTCTGGTGCGCACCAGAAAACGGACTATTAGGTGTGAATGCACCCTTAGATAGCTTTTTTGGAGGTTTTAACCTCCCTAGCGCCAGCTTGGCTGACAGATCTGCTATGGAGGCACCTGTTTCCCAAAATGAAATAGAAAACGTAATCATGAAGATGGCATCAGGAAAAACTCCAGGGGACGACGGTTTTGGAACAGAGTTCTATAAATGTTTTAAAGAACAGCTTTCACCATATTTACTGTTGTTATTCAATGAAATATTAGAATCTGAAGCCATGCCTCCCTCCATGAGCAAGGCCATTATTTCATTGTTGCCTAAACCGGGCAAAGATCCTTCTCTGATGGGTAACCACCACCCTTTAAGCCTTTTAAACTGTGACTACAAGATTCTAGCCAAGATACTGGCACTCCGTTTGGAGAAGGTGGTTCCATCTATAGTGCATCTAGAGTCTAGACCAAGTAGGTTTCATTCCAGGCCGCCAGTCCTCAAATAACATGAGGAGGGTTTTTCAGATTATCCTAGAAGCAAGCTCCAGCAATTTGCCAATGATTGCAGCATCACTAGATGCTGAGAAAGCTTTTGACCAATAGAATGGGCATATCTATTTTACACGCTCAAAAAATGTGGCTTTGGGCCCAAGTTGATTAGCTGGGTAAAGGCTTTGTATAGCGCTCCCTTCTCTTCTGTTAGAACTAATGGATTAATCTCAAAACCTTTCCCCTTACACCGTGGTGTGGGGCAAGGGTGTCCAGTTAGTCCCCTACTTTTTATTATGGCTCTAGAACCATTAGCCTGTGCAATTCGCTCTAATGGTGACATACATGGTGTGAACATTCATGGACACGATTTCAAATTAAATATGTATGCTGACGATATACTTCTTACTTTGAGCAAGCCAGCACTCTCTATACCCGCAGTTCTTGATAGGATACATTTATTTGGCAGCTTCTCTGGATATAAGATCAATTGGAACAAGAGTGAAGCAATCCCACTTAACTCATATACATATAAGCACAACCTAATGAACACCCCCTTTATTTGGAAAACAAATGGAATGAGGTATTTGGGAATTAACATCGTCTCTCCTATCTCTAAAATCTTTAGCCTTAACGGCCCTGCTATTTTCCAGTCCATTAAAGAGGACATCAACAGATGGATGGCCATACCACTTTCTCTATGGGGCAGAGCAGAAACCTTGAAAATGAATGTTCTCGCAAGGCTTTCTCATATTATCTCCTCTATCCCTCTTGAATTCCCACTAAAATGGTTTAAAGATATCAAATCCCTATTCACTCAGTTCCTTTGGAATAATAAAAAACTCAGAATCGCACATAATAAGTTGATCATTCCAAGATCAATGGGAGGTTTGGGAGTCCCGGATGTATTCCAGTATTATCTGTCCTTCAACGCAAAGTATCCATTATCGTGGGCGTACAAAAGTGCCTCTCCGGTAGGCAGTTGGCAATGGCTGGAGCAATCCATCATGTCTGTAAACCAAAACATATCTCTGGCATCAATGTGGTACTGCCCAAAACCACCACCCTCAATGGATAATACCATCATCTGCTTTTCATGCTCTATTGTAAAGCAACTGCACAGGAGACTCAACATAGAGGGGCTCTCTTTACCATCTTGCCCCATTTGGAGTAACCCCTGTCTTTCTGCAGGAGGAGGCACCTTAAGTAATAATATCTGGCAGAGGGCTGGTATTACTACAATTGGACAGATATATAGAGACCAAACCCTTCCATTTCAACAACTCAAAAATCAGTATGTTCTCTCAGACTCATCTTCTCTATCATATGCACAACTAGCATCTATTATTAGTACAAAATGTAAGGAGGGAGCCATGCCTGCTTCATGTATGGAAGAGGACCAGCGCTTCAAGAAAGCAATCATATCATCCGGTGTGGTCTCTAACATTTATAAATTATTATCTAGGGCTGCCCCGAATACCTATTCTCCTGTCCAACTGTCCTGGGAGCATGCCTTGAATATCTCTCTGTCTGCTTTGCAATGGAATTCCATTTGGAGGTCAGCTATGTTCTCTTCTAAATGTGTAAGATTCAGGATCATACAGTTCAACATTCTCAATAGAGCTTACATCACCCCTGTTACAAAATCCAAGATGGACAATAAACACAGAGACTTATGCTGGCATGAATGTGGCAAGCGAGGTACATTGTTGCACCTACTCTGGGAATGCCCAGCGGTAAAAAAACTTTGGTCAGAAGTAATATCCTTAATGTCTGAATCTTTAAAAGTTAATTTCCCTACATGTCCCATTGCATGTCTACTGGGTCTCAAGCCAGATGGCAATGTTGCAAGGACTGCCGATCGGCTCTGGACATTGGGCTGTTTAGCCACAAAAAGACTCATCCTACTAAACTGGAAGGAACGCAAACCAGCCTGCTTTACTAGGGACTCATGGCTGAGGGAGTATCTGGACCTACTGAATATGGAGCGTGCAGCTTCTCTGCTGGGGGATTTTGAGGGGAGACAGGAGGATTGCGGTTCACTGTCCGCAGCTCTCCTATCTGACCCTGTCAATATGGCATCTCCTGTGTAATGTATAATGTATTGTGTATGTAATGTCCTGTGTATGTCACAATCAGCTGTCTTAGGAAGTCATCCTTGCATCAATTTTTGTTGTGATTTGTATTCAAACACAAGTCTTACCATAGACATAGAAGACTGAAGGCCAGCCGACGTACTGAACAAGCACTCCTGCTAAAGGCATGGCTATCACTGCTCCTGCGTAGGATCCTGTGAAAAAACAGTGTCAGATTTCAAAGTCAATGTATGATTATTCCAGCAGTAATATTGGATCTCAGTGCCGATGACAAATAACTAAAAGTAATAAGTAATTTTTTTTTTTTTTTTAATTGTTTTCTTAGTTCATATTTCCATTTCAAAGTATTGTATAATATGACTTCATTTAATGTAACAGTGCAACTGACTTCAATATCACAGAAAACAATACTGTATAGTGGAAATGTGTCTGGATAAAAACAAAGTCATCAAAGAAACACATTAGTTTCATTGAATAAATGCTGAGTCGTTGGCACAGAGAGGCTGATTTGAATGGAGCATGAGAGTGCTTTTGGACAGTAAGCAATGTGATGCTTGCTTTAGGTGAATAAAGGGAGATGCTCTTTCTGAGCGCGCAGGTGAGCCGTGTTCATTTACAGACAATGTCAAGAGGGTTTTGATGCGTGGGTTGTCATGGTACCAGTTTATTTGAATTCAGGAGAGAAAGCCTTGGATTAAATCTGCAAAACAAAATGACCTCTCTCATGTCCATTTACTGACTAGCCACACTGTGATTTAGGAGGTTGTGTAAACTGGTTTGCAGCTCTATGCTGTGATCAGTTTTGTAGTCTGCACTGAGTAATACGACCAGAGAAAACTGTAGGCATCGCTCACCACAGAATGAAGTTGTGGCCAGTCGACTGCGTTCAAGAGGTGGCGCCCATTTGGACCACATCCCATGGCATGCTGGGTAGGTGACACCCTAGCAGGGACATGGTATAGAAGATGTGAAATGACAAAGACTTGAGAGTAAATTGATCTGACAATGTTGAAATACTTAAATAATGGTTCCACATTTTGGGAAACAGACGTATTTGCCTGAGATTGATGGATGAGCGCTTTGACATGAGTGATATTGATCTATCATCTAACTCTAAACAAGAAGTCAAATAAGTGTATTTTTCCCACAATATGGAACTATTGCTTAAAATGCATCCTTCTCACTTTTTTACATCCAATGTGTTTTTTCTTACCTCCACTAAGCCTTGCAGGATGCGAACAAACATGACACAACCGTAGTGCACCCTCGCTGCTGACGGGATGAACATGTTGAGAATGGACGTCAGGAAAATGGCAGCCCCAAACACCCTGTAGAAATACTGGAGTGTCATCATAGTGTGTGTGTTGGCATTGCAACATCAATGTGAACCTAAAGCCCTTAGATTACATCCTTATTATTTAGTCCTTCTCTTGGAAGAAAAAGGTAAATTATTGGGGAAATACAGAGACTGCTAAATGATTACACTTTAAATTAATTCCAATTAATTTCCAATGTAATCAACGTATTTTTGTCAGCTGAACTAATTCCCTATTTTTCCCTCTAAGAATCAAACGTCTTCCATGAATGTCCTAAGAAACTATCAGGGAATTATAACCTTGACTTATATTGTGATTTTTCTGATCTGTCTACTACATCATGTTTACACACAACAAACAAACACCTGCTGCCCAGTGTCTGGAAGCTACTGTAGACGTCTAATATTGGCTGGCAGCATATCTCCAAACATCTGACGGTCGAAGCATCTCAGTCAGCCTTATAATGAGACAGATCTCACGCCTCTCCCTTTCATGCACCGAGATAAAGACATCCCATTCAACCTGCAAGTTTCTGCTTCATCACCACAGTGCCGCTTAGCTCCCATCTCTTCTCTCCTTCACCTCATCCCCCCTTCCTTCTCTTTTTCCAAAACAGTGTGTAAGTGACACTTGTAATATTCCAGTGGCTGGTGTTTCAGAAAGAAATCAGAGGCAGGATCTTTCATTATTAACTCTGTCAGTGGCGTGTCCTCTTTTCCTGTGAAGCTTTTATTACAGGACTGCTATCTGCTCCATCAGCACTGCTCACCACACCGTACAGCTTTAACCCTTTACCCACACAGGCTGAGGAGGCGCTCTGTCCTAAAACATTGATATTTTCAGTCTTTCTTGGAGCGTTTCTTAATATAATGTGCTCAGGGCTGCTGAAAACATGGCCTTACTCTCAACTCGTGGAAATAAATCAACAAAATACATATTTATTATAACCTTTTTATTCTTAATTTGTATGAAAAAGTCTGCTTGTGGATTTAAGATCTGCTGGGAGTATTCAAATCTTCAAACTTTGAGGAAAAATAGTTTATAGACATTTTCAGTTTATTACATTCAATCGTTTTTAAGTTATAAAGTGTTATTGTATTTTATTCTTATTTAATAAATCACTTATTTGGCTGTGTTTATGTTGTATACATGTTTTGAATCTATTGTTATTCTAATAATGTAGTTTTTATATTACTCATATTACATACTCTTATTTGGATCATTTAATGGTCTGTTATGCATTGGTTTCAAATTGTCAAACTGTTAAATTACTGGGTTGTTTTTGTTTCTTCTGTTGTTATCACTGTCAGAACTTTGAACCGTACTTATCTGTATAAAAGGTGCTTTAATATTAAAGCTTTATGTAATGATTAATAATCAATTCATCCTTTGGTTAATGAAATATCAGAGAATGGTAAAAAGTGTCTCAAAATCATCATCAAATTACTTTTCCAATCAACAGTCTTAAATGTAATGTATAATGACATCAAACGAGGTTTAAGTGTTTTAGTGGAATCATTGATAGTCACCGGTTGGCAAACAGCTTGTTGGAGATGAAACCACCGGGGATCTGAGTGACGATGTAGCCCCAGAAGAAGGAGCCGTGGATCAGCCCCACTGTCTCTGGGTCCCAGTTAAACTGAGCTTTCTGGAGAGGAAGAAAGAAAACTGATAGAACAGCGAAAATATGAAAATACCCTCCATTGAACATTCAATTACTTTGGTATAATCTACCTGGTTGCATCTCAGTTGTGTGTGGAAGCTTATTTTAAACTTTTAAACTTCTTGTCCCGATCCAATGCCTTTGTTTCGTGGAAGAATGGTATGAGGTTTTTCCACACCGAGCATTTTATCTTAGGCATAATTATTGCCTAAAGTTTAAATTGGTATTTTATTTGTTTGTTTATATGCAAAAAAAAGTACTTGCATGGATTATAAGAGCAATTCTACAGTATAATGTATGTTAGTTTATAAGTTAATTGTGGCACACATTATAATAGTCTTTATTTATGATAACATAATGATTCTGAAACCTTTCAGGAAATCATTTGTAAAACATCTGTAAGCACACATAAATGGCTTTTCAGATATTTGTAACACTATGATTTGTACAATGTGTTAAATGTAAGTGTTATTTAACATGTAAAATGGTATTTAATAGTTAAGTCTTTGTCAATGGTTTAGATTCTGTTTTTCCTATTTAATACAATTATTTGGTCGTTTTAAAAAACGTCCAGTACAACACAAGATGACTAATACTCAATTTACAATGTTTTATTGATGCTTATTATAAAGTTAGGCCACTTTCTTCAGATCAACAAGAATAAAATCCTATGGCCTCCTATCTCAGGTCCTGTGTGATGTCATGCAGCTACCTGCATCACAGGAGTGCCGTTGATGTAGACGGTGTTGTTGTTCACCATCTCCACAATGGCCACACCGAGGTTGCAGCGGATGCCAAATGAGATGCAGAAGCCCAGGCCGCTGAGGATGGCGATGATGTAGCGCTTGGGCAAACCCCCACAGTAGCAGTCCAGCAGCGGGGCAGGACGCGGGGCTGAAGCCACCGGACGCCCATCCTCTGTCAGTTCAATGTGGTCCTCTTCTTCTACATTACTACCATCTATTTTCCTAAGAGGTCAAAAGTAGCAGGAAAATAAAGAGTATGTAACAGTAGGAACATGTGATCATAGTGGTCTTTCTTATCTCTTCAGCTCATAATAATAACAAGTTTAAAATGCATTATAAACATACTTATCATGTGAAATAATGTCACTGAACATTATAGTTATAAGCACTGATGAATATTCATACTGTTTTATAACAATAACATTTAATTAATCTTTTTTTATATATTTTATAAGGTCAAGTATACTTGATTATTTCATACTGTTGCTGGTCACTCATCACTGTATTTTTTAGAACATTTTGCTTCATACATAATCCCATACAAAAGTTCTTTGTTCATTTACAGTGAATAGCTGAACATTTATCTTACATGTGATTAAAGCATAATATGGCTGCAACTCAAACAAACATATAGCATTTTTTGTGCAATTTTCACAATATAATATTTTAAAGTCCGATCACTTTTGTCAGTACCTTTGATCAAATGTGGCATCTCAGTAACATGAGTGTCTCGGCTCTCTTACAGAGTAAGGAGCGGGGAGGCATGACACAAGACTAAAAAGATCACGACACTGTTATCAGGTTGCCTTCAGCTGCATCACTCTCCACACCTGTTCCACTGCCCAGAGTCCATCTCTTTTTCCGTCCCCTGCTCATCTGCCTGCTGTAGTGCTATACTGCATTCCTCTAAGAGCAGGGCTCAATTTAAGCTGAAACTGCGATCACGTTTCGATATCAACCCCTCAAATCTGCACTTTTTTAAACCCAGAGTTTGAAAATCCCTATCATATTTACAGAAGTAACTACTGGTGCGTCATATTTTCTGTAACAATACATGGCTATTAAAAAATGTACTGTAAATGTGATTATTTGAAAAAATAGTTAATATGGTGGGTAGGTCACGGTGTATGAACTGCATTAAGATACAGAAGTCATCTTTGGGGTGTTCGATGCCCTTACACGGCAACCAGTCTCAAAAGTATAAGCAACAAGCTGACATGTTAAAAAATAACAGAGATGGGTTAAAGTTTGAATTTTCAAAACCAGATAACACCTTTTCTATTGGTGCATTAACCAGAGTTTGGCTTTAATTGTGCACACCTGTATGGACGTCTGGTTTTTATTTGTTTTGTTTATGTGACTTTTATTTTAAATATTGTGTGTTTGGTGGAGCAGGATAACCTAACCCAAGAAACTAAACACATTTACAAAGTATTAACTGCATCCTGAGGAGATGATTGATTATTTGAAATGAATCTGTTTTTGTTGGTTTTTAAAAACTGCCATTTGGAAATGTCATCATACTGTAGCAACAAGTTCTTAATCTTGATTCTGGAAAAGTGCAGGCTTATTGATAGTGAGCTGGATCATGACAACGCTGTTTTAGTGTGAACCCCATACCAAATCTCTTCTTTGGATACATATAGCTGAATATTGTTTAAATAATATTTAAATCTGAAATAATAAATACACATGACTACAAATATTCCCGTCCATGCTTTTTTTTAAGGCATAAGGAAAGTATGCAGAGTAACGATACACACACAAAATTAATTTGTCAGGAAATTGCCTACTTGGTCGTTTATCTCTCAAAATGAGAACAATCTACCTTACAGAATGGGGGCTAACACATCCCCCTGTGAAATATTTATCAGATATAAAATATGTATTAATGTCTTAAAATAAAATCTGTGATTACATCACTGGCAATGGCTGACAAGCACAAGAATCAAATATGTATTTATCGTCAGGATCTCAGAGAACATGCTGGGCTTAATGTGCTCTCTTCGAGGCTCTCCGCATCCCTCTGACAGCAAAGATTTCCCTCTTAGAGTTATTATTACAATTATGAATCCCCTGTGAATACACACATGGATAATGAGTTAAATGCTTATTCCATGCAGTCCCAACACCCTGCACACACAGTCCTAATGCCTCCTTCCCACTGCTCCATACAATCCCTCTCACCTTTGCAGTTTTCCTAGAGAGTCCCCCACAGTGTTTTTCCCTTCCTCCTTCCCAGGCTTAAGCACCTGTTCCTTCAAACCTGCTAGCCCACCAAAAGGCATTTTCTCAATGTCTTTGTTTCCTCTCCTCTTTTATCTGGAAGCAGTGTCTTGATACCTCACTAACACACTCAGCTCTGACAAAGGGGGAAAATCCACTAGATGCTGTTCATCATCCTTGCTGGGGCCACGGGTCCCTCAGAGGGAAGACAGGCTTTTCCTCTCCACTTTTATCTGGAGTGAGGATTCAGTGGAGAAGTGAAGAGAAGGCTGAAGTATTCCTCAATGTCCAAAGTACCAAACAGCCAGAGTCTCAGGAACTTGTTCCATCTTCTTAAGATCCAGTTTAGAGAAAGACTGGTGTAGAACAAGGAGAGCAAATGAAAGTGTAGATCCAGGTTTCAGTCTCTAGATCATGTGAGCTTCCTTTTGTCTAGATCCTGTCTTCATCTCATAATGCATCCACTCGTGGTGAGGAGGGGCAGGTGGAGCTGGTTCTCTTAAAACCCAGCCCCCTCGCTTTACACATCTTCATCATCTCCGCAGCACCACCCCTTCTGCTGGTTAGGTTCATCTGATAGCAGCCCAGACAGTTAAATATGCATGAGCTTGACAAGTTGCATTGAGGAGAAGCTGGACTGCTGTGGTGTAAAATGGGAGCAGGTGAAACCTAAGACAGAACCGTCAAGCTCCAGGTTTACATTGCCAATTTTTCCATGACTGATAATTACAATTTCTGTATTTCTGAGGGAGTGACAGAAGTCATAAATGTTGCAATCAAGCTGAATAGCAGCCACAATACTAATCTGTTACCATCTGACACTGATGGGCAATTCCCTGAAATTACTGTTTTGTCAGCAGAGGGAAACTCAACGTTTATCAGAGTGAGGTACCTTCTTTCAAGTCCTTTGTATCACAAATATCACAGCTCCATTACAAGAAACATTAAGGGAGTATACTGTATGGCATGGCAATTAGATATTTAAGGAATTATTACATTAAATGCATTAAACATAATACAAATAAATAAACGAATATAATTTCAAAAATAACAATACAACCAGCAAGACTTGCATGCTTCAATTATCCAATTTGTATTAAAGATAATGAACAGCAATGGAGTGAAATACACAATTTTAATTGTTGACATAAATAAAGATATTATGTAAACAGATTACACATAATTGTATTAGGTTAGTTGAAAGCAATATTATAATAGCATTGTTACTTAAATTAAACTGAGGACGTTTTGAAATAACATATTACTTTTGAGTAAGTAAAGTCTACCATCTAGTGGTCGGAGTGGGAAGCGATGTGATCAACCCCAGCAGTCGCTTGTATGCTCCATGGGATAGGTGCTTTATCATCAGTCCTCAATAGACGCATTCACACTGCGGTACTTTTCCCACAAAGGTTCATGTGAACTTAGTTCATGTGAACTCTTTAGTTCGCATGAACTAAGTACAGATCGCGTTCACACTGGAAAAAGTCCCTGGGGGTGGATTAGGCAAATAAAGCCGCTGACGTCACTTCTTCTTCTTCTGCTTTGGGTTTACTGGCAGGCCGCAAACCACTTCACGGCGTATACTGCCGCCAGAAGTCCCCGGAGTTGGGGACTGGCTTCAGTAGAAGCTGCTGGGACTCCCAGCAGCTTCTACTGAAGCCTTCCGAGTAAATCGCCAGAACGCCGACACCTCCTCATCTCCACCACTCCCATGTTTTATTTTGTGTTGCCATAAGTTAGTCTCTCTGCGCTGGACTAATGCTAATAATGCTAATGCGAGGATAATGAAATGGCGGCTTCACAAAACTTTTTGGGAGTTTTACGGGGCGTGGTTTGCAATCCGCCCAGTCAATCAGAAATAGGCTATAGCTCTTTTCTCACAAGAGAGCCGCTCGAAAGTCCAACTTTCGTGGGGGTAAAAAGGTTCTCATGATTCATGAACTAATTTTAGTACCGGCTCTTTTTAGTGTGAACGCGACAAAAGAGTTCTCATTAACTAAATTCTAAAATGAACTTTTGTGGGAAAAGTACTGCGGTGTGAATGCGCCTAATGTTGGAGTGATGAGGCCAGAGCCTAGATCTTTACAATTGCAAAACGAAACATAAGGGTAATAACAAAGGCTCTGAATTAGCCCTGAACGAAAAAATGCTAACACACTTAGCACAGAACTCACGTTAAAATACCCTTATTACTTATCGTAACAAGATATCAATTAGCAAGCTGAGATTGCACAGATTCGACAGGTATTAGTATCATTACTGACCTATCCGAACTCGCGACATGAGAAGCTAACAAAGACATCACACCACGTAGCATTAGGTAGCGAACACGGCAATATGTTTTACCTTTGTTGTTTTCTGATCAAAAGTTGTCTTCAATGGCATTACAACGATAAAAACGCTGCTGAAGGTTAATCCATAGGTTAATCCAATGTGTCTGTGTCACTTTGAAATTATTTCTGATAATCCATCAGCAATAAACCTCGTTTTCAGATTTCAGAGTGTAAAAACGACGCTGAAGTTGGCTTCCGATTCAGAGCATCCGATTCGGCTTCACAAATAGAATAAAGGTTTCACAAATCTCAAACTGTGTTATAAAGAATGTTTAGACCCTCTGGGATAATCCAGTCCAGATTTGATGAGTCTAGGTATAGTGGTTTTAGATCAGGACCTGGTCTAATGTGGTCTACATGTGAAAAAAGCACTGAAATCTCCCTTGTTTGTATTTTCACAAATAGAATAAAGGTTTCACAAATCTCAAACTGGGTTATAAATAATCTTTTAGACTTAAATGTCCCTTAACTTTCCCCTTAACTGCCGAATCGGATGCTCTGAATCGGAAGCCAACTTCAGCGTTTTAGGCCCAATCCCAAACCACTCCCTCGACCCTACCCCTCCGTGATGGAGTGAACTCCGTCTGTTGCCACACTCGCAGCTCAAAGAGGCTCCCTCCTGTCAGATGGAGGGAGTAAATACAGCAGCAAGCTTTGGGACCGCCTCCCCTCTCTCCGGCAGAAACAGGAAATGCCGTAACTGTATGTAACAACGGTTTCAAATCAGCATCTATTAGACAAAAAGTTTAAATGAATAACTCAAATAAAACTCCAATCATCTTTCATTGTGTTTCAAAGCTCTTTTAGTTTTAAACCTGATGTTTATAAGCTTCTTAGTTTTTGCAACGGTCTGTAAATATACACAACTTTATAATAAAATGCACACATTTACCTTTTTCTAGACTAAACACAGGTATGATCCTAAATTAAAAACATATGAGGTTATCATGAGGTTGTTAACATCGCAATTTATCAGTGGATGTTTGCTGGAACTACTTGTAAACAGCGTGTTTCCTGACGGACACACACAGCGTGTTTTGCATCAATCTTGATACAGGGTACTTATTATATATTATAGTTTGGATTCCTAAAGCTTTTAGTCTACTATCCCATCATTCAAGGGTAGTTTTCACTATAAGTAATGGTTTATTTTTGGACGGACAATATAATTGAATTTGTTTTACTATGTTCAATCTGAATTTACTTTAAAATTAAAAAAAATCTATATTGATTCTGACTTTTCTACATCCAACTCACAGGTTTATCATTGCTGGGATAGGGAATAGGGAAGCTATTGTCATTTGTTCTGGGAATGTCATTTTCGAGCCTGAGACCTGAAAAACAGGCTTGGGACTTAACAGGTTAACAAATAACAATTACATGTCAATCAATCAATGTTTATTTATATAGCCCAATATCACAAATGTTACATTTGTCTCAGTGGACTTCACAGTTTGTACAGAATATCAGTATGACAATACGACACCCTCTGTCCTTAGACCCTCACATCGTACAAGGAAAAACTTCTGGAGAAAACCCACAGTTTAAAGGGGAAAATGGGAGAAACCTCAGGGAGAGCAACAGAGGAGGGATCCCTCTCCCTGGACGGACAGACGTGCAATAGATGCCGTGTGTAAATTGAAAAGATAATACATTTGCAACATAGGTAGTCCAAATGTTTGGAAATGCATGTGTAATAGGAAGATGAATCCACGAGGATATCCATCCAGGATTTATGATCCAGGACCACAGCCACGACTCAAGATCCAGGGCTCGCGATCCAGGACACAGGACCGCAGCAACAGGATCATCCATGACTCCGGATCCCGGCGTATATAGACACAAAAAAAAAAGACATTTGGGGAAGCTGGGTTAATCGGAACATGAGAGTACACAGGTATAGACAGAGAGAAGGAAGAAGTAAGATGTCCCCCGACAAACTAAGCCTATATCGGCAAAACTAGGGGCTGAATCTAATCAGCCCTAACTATAAGCTTTATCAAAAAGGAAGGTCTTAAGCGCACTCTTAAAAACGGATAGGGTGTCTGCCGCCCGAACACAAACTGGAAGCTGATTCCACAAATGTGGAGCTTGATAAGAAAAGGCTCTGGCTCCCATTGTACTTTTAGAGACTCTAGGAACAACCAACAACCCTGCATTCTTGGAACGCAATGCCCTAGTAGGACAGTAGGGTATAATGAGTTCTTTAAGGTAAGATGTCGCCTGTCCATTAAGGGCTTTGTAGGCGAGAAGAATAATTTTAAATTCTATCCTGTGTTCTATACGGAGCCAGTGTAAGGCAGCCAGAACAGGAGTAATGTGGTCCCTTTTCCTAACTCTGGTTAGTACACGAGCTGCAGCATTTTGAATCAGCTGAAGCAACTTAACTGACTTCTTGGTACACCCTGATAATAAGGAGTTACAATAATCCAGCCTTGAAGTAACAAATGCATGGACTAGTTTCTCTGCATCGTTTTGAGGCAAGATATGCCTGATTTTTGCAATGTTACGTAGATGGAAGTAGGCGGTCCTTGAAATTGATTTTATGTGGGCGGTAAAGGATAAATCCTGATCAAATATAACACCAAGATTCCTTACATGTGTCAAACTATCACTCAGTGTGACTCCCCAGTCACTGCTGGTGAGTCCTTCCGCTTAACACAAACCCACAATCCCAGAATCATTATGCACATCATGTTTTCTTAATACTGTGAGCCATGTTCATGCTCTCTGACTATATTTTGCACAGCCCTCCAGTTTAAAGGTCCCCCTAGTTGAGCCTCGCAGATGGGGGTGCTGCAGCCCCCTCAGTTTGGAAAATTGCACAATATAAATCTATTCTAGTATACCTCAACAATGGAATTATGATCAGTAGATTTTTCCATCCTTTTTCTATTGTACATATTGCCCCTTGGTTAAATTCTCACAAAACATAATATCCCCTTCCATTGTTACGCTGATGATGTACAGATTTACCTGCCTCTCAATCAAAATGCCAACTCACTACAGCAGTTGAAGGACTGCTTAATAGAGATTAAATCCTGGCTTAGCCAAAACTTCCTCACCCTCAATGAGAGTAAGACCGAGGTAATCTTTTTTGGACCCCAACCAACAGTCTCCCCGGTTGATATTCTGGGCTCCCTCAATACAAATATCCTCCCCTCTGTCATGAACCTTGGAGTGACCTTCAACAGCGCCTTTAAATTTGATAAGCAGGTCAGCAGCGTAGTCAAGACCTGCTTTTTCAAAATACGACTATTGGCTAAGACCAAGTCGTTTTTATCTTTTAAAGACCTAGAAAGGGTTATTAACGCCTTTGTTACCTCGAGACTGGATTACTGCAATGCGCTGTATGTGGGTATGGACCAGGCCTCAATTAGACGCCTCCAGCTAGTTCAGAATGCAGCTGCACGTCTTCTCACTGGCCATAAAAAGCTTGACCATACTGCATCACCCCAATTCTGGCTTCATTGCACTGGCTTGGAAAAAATAGTATATGAACAGGTCGAAAAGTACCTCGCGGAAAAGAAACTAATCTATGAATTTCAATCTGGCTTTAGAACATCCCACTCCACTGACACATGCCTTCTTTATTTGAGCGACCACATCAAACAAGAGGTGGACGAGGGCAAGTACTGCGGCATGGTGATGCTGGACCTACAAAAGGCTTTCGACACTGTCAATCACCCCATTCTGATTGACAAGCTAAAAGCAATTGGTTTTGATAAACTATCGGTGAGCTGGATGCAATCCTACCTGGAGGGGAGAGAACAGATGGTGGAGGTAAACGGTACTCTGTCCCCCCCCCTCCCAGTGAGCTGTGGTGTTCAACAAGGAAGCATATTAGGTCCGTTACTGTTCCTAATTTATGTAAATGACATGTCATCAGCATGTGACTGCAACTTGTTCCTGTTCGCGGACGACTCAGCCCTGCTGGTCTCTGACAGGAACAGGTTGCAGGTTGAAAAAACCCTCAGCTCCGAGCTCGGCAGAATCTGCACCTGGCTCGCCGATAATAAATTATCATTACACCTGGGTAAAACAGAGTCCATTCTCTTCGGTTCGAAACATAATCTCAGCAAATCCGACGAATTCTCAGTTGCAGTGGG